TACGTACTTTCAAAGTTGATCTCATTTCTGAGCTTACATCAATTGACTTACGGATACTCTAACGTACAAAAACATAGGGTGTAGCAATTCACTAATTATAAAACAACATACAATCAATTATTATTTTTTTATTAATGTATGCAAACTTAAAACAACAAAGATAAAATAATAGAAGAAAAAATTGATTCTACATGAGTTGTCGATAATTATCTTTTTCTTTTTGCAAATATTTTAATAAATGAAAGCTTCCTTTTATATATATATATTTTATCTTAACGTTTATATTTTCACATATAAATTTTTTTCAGGCCAATCTCGTCATGATAAAAGTAATTAATTTTAATTATTTGATCATTAACAATGCATACAATAATAATAATTATCATAAGATATTCTTATAAAACTATAAGGACTTTCATTGCGCTGAATATGAGATCAATATATATATTTTTAGAAAGTTATACATTTTATTTTATTTTTTATTATAACTCAAAACATTATTTAATATTATTTGTGTAATTTTTAAAGAGTTATTTACTTTTTGACAAGGAGAACACGCGCAAAGTGCACACGCTACTTTTAGCGAAATATCATTCATATTTTTATTTTTTTAAAATAGAGTTCACACTAGACAAAATAGTTATTTAATTATTTCTTAATATTTAGGACTTTGAAAAAAACTAAAATATTTCTTATTAAATTATTCCCATTTTGAAATAAGTATGAAGTCACGATATTTAGGATTTTAAAATTAAATAAACTTTTACCATATATATAAATTATTAAAAAGAAAGAAAAATCACCAACGACCCAAAATTAGCAACTAAATCACAAAATCTTAACCACGTTTATTCTGCCAATCTCCCCAATCCTTCGTTAATAAAGAGGTCGTACCCTTCGTATTTTCAATTCCAACAATATCAAGTAGAATACTATTAATGAGTTAATATTTACCTATAATTAATAAAAGACTAGAATTAAACCTTTGAAAATATGTAATTAAAGTACAAACATACTAACAACGAAAATATAAACTGAGATTTAACATTGTGAATCTCAATATCTTACACGCAATCATAAGCCGATCAAGTTCTCCATAAACGATCACAAGACAATGATTGCGTGTTCTCCATAAATGATTACATAACCAAACAATCTATACGCAACCATACTACATAAACGGCAATCAAAAGGAGTGCCCGATCAAGTTCTCCGAGTCGTTTGCTAAACCGGAAAATCATTGTAACAAGAGTACCACTTCTTCAACATGTGGCTTTTATATTGATGCCTTAATTACCAGAATGCTTAGAAATGATTGAGTATATTAAGATGTTTAGACTCTATATATCAAGGCATTTTTTTAAATTAACATACTTCTTACATGTACAATATATTTTATTGTTAGTTCTATAGCTTTTCCTTTTCTCAATAGATTGCATTATTAGACTATTATCATCAAACTATTCTAAGAGAAAACATCACTGAGATACGAAAAGGAAATACATAATCTATGCTATCGGGAGGGGAGTAGTTTGATGGTAGTACAATGTTGTTCCGCTCCTATATCCTTGCATGCTAATTTTGAAATTGAAGTAATAAAATTAGACTAAAGTTTAAGTTGGATATATTAAGTGAGATGATTCAAGACTTCTATGATGTAGAGTTTCTTCCTTGATTGAATTAGTAGGATCAACAATTATCGTTGTCAGGAACTACACTTTTTTCTTTAATTTTTAATTTATAATAGAAATATAATTTTTAATTTAATATTTATATAATTTTATAAAATTTAATACTCATCGAGACAGGACACGGCCTCCCCTCTCTCTTGTTTGCTCTTTGATTAAAAAAAAGTGATTATAATTAAGAGCATGTACCTGGTTATTGTAGTATTTTTTCTGTATACTAATCTAAGGATCTAACCGCTCCAATAAATGTAGTAGCATTTAGTTCCCACCTATAAGTACAACAAACAAGACCACTAGTCATCTATAGCAAAACAAATTACCCATTTCCGTCGGAAGTAAAAATCAAACCAAACATGTTCTCCTCCAAACTCTCCTTACTGATCACGGTGGCGCTGATGGCGGCAACCACCACACTAACGGTGGCCCAACCACCGTCATGTGCTTCTAAATTAGTACCATGTGCACCTTACCTCAACTCAACAAAACCACCGGCTTCTTGCTGTGACCCACTCAGAGAAGCCGTGACCAAAGATCTTGATTGTCTCTGCAACCTGTACGAAAATCCTACGTTGTTGCCCTCTCTTGGTATTAATGTTACTCAAGCACTTGCTCTTCCTAAGGCCTGTAATATCCCCGGCGATATTAGCGCTTGTAAAGGTAAGATTTTTATGCATTTTTCTTCACTTAATAGTACTAAATCAATGGCCTTTTAGTTTAAAATAAAACCCAGATCTTGTTTCGTTTTTGTTTTCGAAAATGAGGAGCTGTGATTTGAATTGGGATTCAATTAATTGCTTTTGAAGTTGGTAATTTTCTGTTTTTACTGCGATCAAGAACTAAAACTACTTCAAATCTGATATTCTTCACTTTTTTTGTCCCTTTTCATTTTTTATAGGAGAATTATTTTTTTTTTGAAATGGTGTAAAAATTTCTTTAGTAAATAATTGGGGCTTAACTATTGTTGTTGTTACTGTGTACCAATTTTCGGTTCAGTGTTGATTTGATTCTTTGTATTTGTCTGCAGCTGCTGCTCCAAAAAGTTCAGGTTCTTCTCCTTCTGGGACAACGCCAGGTAATTGAGATTAATGCTCAATTTTTCTACTTTGTTTACCACCGAATTAATATTTGTCAACTAATTAACTATCTCGGAGTATGCAGCAATTTGATTTAATTTTTACTATTAGTTATTGCTCCTTTAAATGTACTGAATCGTGATCCGTAGGTGTTTGTATTTATTGTTCATGTGCTCCACTCTGGTATATGTAATAAAGTTGTAAATTTAAAGTTTGTTTTGTCTTTTAGGGGCCTGCTAGGGGTGACAAAATGGTTAAAAAAAATAATTAACCATCCATATTATCCACTAAAAAATGGGTTGGATAATGAACTTTTTTAAAACGGGTCAAATATGAATAAGAACCATATTATCCATTTAGAAAATGGATAACCAATGGGTAACCAATGGGTAACTAATGAGTCTAACTTTTACATCTGTAAAACCTCAAATTGGGGGTTCCTCAAGTTAGGGAGACTAAGCTAGCGTTTGGCCATAAATTCCAAAATTTGTTTTGAAAAATCTGATTTAGGTGAAGTTTGGTTTGAAGATGAAAATGTGTTTGGACATACGTTTTCAAAATATATTTCCCAAATTTATTTTGGAAAAACATGTATATTATTATTGTTTGTAAAGATTTTGGCCCAAAACCAACTATTGAGCTAGTTTTGAGATTTGGAATTTTGCCAAAATATAAGCAAAATCTATGGCCAAACATGTGTTTCCCAAATAAAACCCAAGTTTATTTTGGCAAAATCTGTGGCCAAATGGGTCCTAAGAATTCTTCAAAAAGTGATCATATGCAAGAAGTCATGGATAATATGGTTATCCATATTTTCTGCCGGTTAACCCGTTTTTTATCCGTATTAAATATGGGTCGGGTCGGATAATTTATCTGTTTTTCCACCACCCGTTTTCGACCCGAACAATATCCGACCCGACCCGCCCGGTTTCCACTCCTAGGGCCTACTATTGTTAATATAAGTTATAGAAAAACTTGCAAATTCAAAGGTTGACTTGACATCTTGTACTTTTTCAATAATCCAGAGCCCCAATTTTGAAAGTTGATGGCATAGTTTAATTTCTTAACCTTTTCCTACTATTAACTTAGTTGATCACTAAGGAACTTATGGTATAAGATCTTTGAAACGAGACAAAACATAATATTGTGTTCCCACTTGCGAAAGGACAACATGAATAGGTTGTGATATATAAATTTTTGTCCAACAAGAATGTCTATGTTGGACTTATAAATGCACTCAACATGTTTTGTTCATTTTGTGCTGTAATAAAATTTTCCCAGGTCTTTGGTATCAGACACATAACCTTTTTAGAAGTCTCTCTTCGTTTGCACCTTAGAGGCTTTGAGAAGAAAATGAAAAGAAAAATAGCATTGAATATTATTAGGTGTAAAATTAAATTCATATAAGTATTTCTTGCCTTTTCTTTCAAATATCCTGTTCTTCCTGTTTTGTTCAAGTTTCCCTAGGGTTGCGAAATAATTTTATGTTTCTTCTCCAAGCACAATCATTAAACTGTTGGTGATGAGGACTTGCTGAAGGGCCATCCTACTTCTCACTTCTCAGTGGTGTTCAATCTTACATAGATCTTCAGCCAAAACTTTTGTCCTACTTTGAAAAGCTTGATTTGTGTGAATCAAGCTGTATCTTAACGACTAAAATGAATTGAACGGGAAAGAAAGTCATTCATGGTGGAAATGAAAATTTCCTGAATCACTTTGTTACTAAGAGAGTTATGCTTCTCAATCTAAGAAACTTGTTCTTGCTTGTCCGATAATTTTTTCTGATCATTTTATGCTTATCCCATAAGTATTCGCTTCTCATGGATGTTGATTCTCTTCGGATTTGTCTTAATAGTCGTGTCTTCTGTGATAGTTAGGGATTAAGTTCTTAAAGTCCTTTTTTTACCCACACCCCCTTGGTGGCTTTGTCTTTCCAGAGTAGCCTTTTTCCATCTTCAATTTCTCCACCTCTTAAGTCATGCCAATTTGGAGGTTTCTCTAAGGCTGGCAAAAAAGAAGAAGAAGGGGGATAGAGGATGACAGTCTTTTAGATATTATTAAAACTGCTGCTTAGTTATTTTGGTTTTACTCCGTTTTGAAGTAATATACTAGGTACTCTGAGAATTTTGAGGCAGTCCATATGAAAAGTGGCACATCTGTTATGCTACTCAGGGGCGAAACCATACTTTGGCTAGGGTGTTTAATTGACCACCCTTTATCGGAAAATTACACTGCGTATATAGGTAAAAAAAAATTAGGTTTTAGAGTTACATAACATATATTGAACACCCGTTGTCGGATTTTTTTTACTTATTTCCAGTTTGAACACCCTTGAGAAAATTTCTGGTTTCGCCATTGATGCTACTCGACTTATGATCACAATTAGTTTACAAGTTAAGTGTGCAAGTACCTTGTTTAGGCATTTGTAGTCACTGAACTGGAGGTGAGGGCTAGCCAAATGAGCACCAGAGCGTCTATTTCTAAATCATATGCATCCATCTCTTCCTCATTTGGAATTGATTCAAAATAAAGTTAATTGGAGGTGGCTTACTTGTTGTACATGTTTTAATTTACTTATGTGCAAAAAACAGATGTACATGGTTAATTTGTGTGCTTTCTTGGTAACAATATTGCTGTCTTGACTGTTTTACAGTCACACCAGCTGCAAAAGATAAAAATGGAGTGAGCAGGATTGCATGGACCGGAATGTCAAGCGTACTCATGCTCTGCGCTTCTATCGTGCTTGCTTAGATCAATGATCATGTTCTTCTAGTATTAGGGTCATCTTGATGAATTTCTCTACTCAATTATTATTCGGAGGATTGGCGGATTGCTCTCCAAGCCTTTATCTCTTGTACTCTGAGTTTTGCATTCTGTTATCTGCTGAGATGAACTAAATTGATGTATGAGTCACAGGAGCTCTTTGATTGTTTTAAGATTTGCATACTTTGTGTTCACATGTTCTTGATGTTGTATTCTTGGGGTTTGTTATGCGAAATTGGCAGGTTAAATATGAGCAAGAGCCTCTGTTTTTATTGCCCTTTATTATCTTGGTACAGGAAAGAATTTAGCTTGCACTGGCAACGTAATTTAAGGCACGCAACACTGGCATTAAGTAATTTTGTGTCTTGTTGACAACTTCAAGAGTTAATTATTCTTTGTTTTCGTGGGCTTGCCTTCTCTCTGCCCCTAATCTATTTGTATATCGTATAACCTTTTACCTATTGTTGGCGGGATGTGATAAGTATTCCGTGAAATTAGTTGAGGTATGCGCAAGCTGGTCCGGACACCACGGTTATAAAAAATAAATATTGTGTAACCTTTAGCTCAGTTGCATATGTTCCACTGTGGTTTTCGCTATCAACTAAACTAATCAAGGCAAAGTCTAATGTGCAATGCCCCTCCATACTCGTACTTAATGCCATCCTAAGCACCTCATGGTTCAGCTAATCAAAACTTTTCAGTATTTAAAGAAAAAGATAATAGAAGTATTCTTAAAACATAAGTTCACTATTTACAGTTTGATCAATTATATTTTCTTGTATCTATTGAAAATAGTAATAAACGGATTTGAATTCAGAAATATATTTTTTGATTAACAAAAATAAAAGTTCAGAAAAGACACTCAAATAAAGTTTACTTAAAAGACGAATCTCCTAAAACATTCAGCAGTTTATACATGAAGCAAGTGATTATATTTTAATGACCTAACCAACAACAACAACAATATACCCATATTATCCCACACCGTAGAGTCTGGGAGGGTAGTGTACGCAGATCTTACTACTACTTTGTGAGGATAGGGCTACCTTGTGAGGATAGAAATGTTGTTTTCAATGGACCGTCAGCTTAGGAAAGCATAAACACTACATTAATAAAAATATAGACAAGAAGGGACAGTACCAAAAAGCCATATAAAGGCAAAATAAAAACAAGATAAATATTCAAAACGTGTCTTTATTTCCTTAATTATGATTTTATTAAAAAAAGGAAGGAGAATAAAAACAAAAAATAAAATAAAATGAAGAGAACTGTTTACTTCTAGTCACTCCAAAAAATAATAATCAATAAAATATATATTTTTTATATATATGTATTTTATATACATATAATATATAAATTTTATATGTTTTTAAATTAATAAATATATTTAATATGGACGGACTAATTTTATATTTTGCCCAAAAATAAAAGCAAGGGTTTATCCAATAATAGAAGCTACCAGAAGGACCGAGTCAGCTCAAGTCCCTTGCAATTCCTCGCGTCACAATGCAGTCAGCTCTGTAACCGTAACACAGTACCACTCTGCAAGCGATAGTGGAAACAATTTATTGGCAAAATTAGGGTCTGTGAATCCGACTCGAAGGTAATAGAAAAGAGCAATGGAGCCGGCGAAGTTGAATGAACTGAAGCAATTCGTCGAACAGTGCAAATCCAATCCTTCTATTCTCTCTAATCCTTCTCTTTCCTTCTTCCGTGACTACATTGAAAGGTACGCTACTTAATTCCATTTGTAAATAGTAACTTTTCAAAGATTAATTTATTATGAACATATGAATGGATCACCACTTAGCTCATCTGTTTTTTTTTTTCCAGTCTCGGTGGTAAACTTCCTCCGTCTGCTTACGATACTGGAGATTACAAAGCGGTATTATTTAAACCTTATTGAGTCTTTTAAATTCTTTTCGTTGCTGAACTTGAGATAATGTAGGCGTAGGCTATTTTCCTGTTGAAGTATTTAAGAGAAACTGTTAGTAATTTTGTAAAAATTTAATATTCTAACTTGTACATTCTCAAATAGGCAAAGAGTAAACTTCCAAGTTTACCTAAGATCTCTGGCTCTTAGTAATCTATGTGTGGATACTAAATGTCTGAGCAAAGAGACCTACCGCAATTAATTTCCGAACAATCTAGACCTAAAATCACATGAAAGTACAATCTCTAGTAATTAAGAATACTATAATGGAAGCAAAGGATCCCTATAATGATACCGATTAGCGTGAGTAAAGCTGAGTTGTTGTTCCACTTGGTTAAGTCCAGGCGAGGATAAGTGTGTGGTTTAGAGAACTTCTGATATGCTTTGATAGACGAGTTAATGACCTTTATTGTAGTGAAATGGGCTCGAATAGAGTGGAATATATGAAGATCCCGTACACAACCAGTTGGGATTGTGGTGTAGTTGATTGATTAACTGATTTAATTGTGGTTTCTCTATATACCTGCAAGTTTCCACTTTATAAGGTTTCTCCTTTATTATTATATTAGTATGGTCATGGTTTCTCATTAAATATGAGGTAATTGGAAACTTAAACACCTCGCTTTGGATTTTATGTTGTCCTATTGAACTATCATTTGTTATGCAGAAGTCTCATGTGGTGGATGAGAGTGATGACGAGGTGGGTGATGATGAGAACGATGCTCATGCTAAAGGGGCGGTTGAAGAAGACGAGGAGCCTGAGATAATTGAATCTGATATTGAGCTTGATGAGAGTGACTCTGTGGAACCTGACAATGATGAGCCGCAAAAGGTCTGATATCTGACAGATTAACATTTTCTGTCCACTTTGGGTTTAATGGTTCTTGTTTATTTTTGACTTATTAAAGTTAATTTTCTAGATGGGAGACCCTTCTGTTGAGGTGACTGAAGAAGCCCGCGATGCTTCTCAAGAGTCCAAAGCCCAGGCCATGGAAGCAATTTCTGAAGGTGATGCTGTTCAATGTCTATATGTGTGCATGCGTTCTGTGTGTTCATAAATTCAGTGGGTATCATGTCGCTTACTTTTGGTCTTTGTGCTCATCAGGTAAGCTAGAAGAGGCAATTGAGCATCTTACAAAGGCAGTTCTCCTCAATCCTACATCAGCAATTATGTATGCTGCTAGAGGTACACTTTACTTGGTTTTTTGTTGTTTTCTAATTGAATAGTCATTTTTATTCAGTCACTCATAGTTTTTTCTTTTCTTTTTCTAACACAGCTAGTGTGTATATCAAGATGAAGAAGCCAAATGCTGCCATACGAGATGCAAATGCAGCGTTAGAGGTCTTGATTTCAGATTTGCTTGCCTGAATTTGGTTGTCCTTTATACGTCAATTTCTAAAGATACAGTTATTTTTTAGTAAGGCCGCTCAATGATTGCAGTGAGTGAGCTTTATCAAAAAGTAGTTGCATTGACTGGCTAATAATTCTTGAGGTTTTTATACGGAAAGTACCCTGAAGAATTCATTGGGCGTATCCCCTTAGAATTCTCTTCCATTCTTGAGGCAGACTGGGAGGCAAACACACATAAAATTTGCATGCTTCCTAGTTAATGCTTTTTCTTTGATATCTGCTTCAGTAAATTATAGTCTTCCCAAAGTGTTCATTCCCATTTCCCTGTTTTAGATGTTGTAATATAGTAATTATAAAAATCATCTATTTTTGTTTCATCCCCACTTAAAATGCTTCTTTTAAGAACCGTATATAAATATGGGTAGCAACTGGAAAAGTAGATGACATGACTTGGGAAAGACCGCTTTTGATTGAGGCAATTATCCCCCCCACTCCCTCCCTTTTTTTTTTTTTTTGTGGGTCTTGCATGTAATTTCTGTCCGGAAGTATTCGCATTTCAGTTAAAAAGATATATTGGACCAGGTTGGGATTTCTGTAGATGCTGATTAAAGTAGAGGCACTGAGCTGTAATTTGTTGTTCAATGTATCATAAACTTGACTGTTCTTGCAGATAAACCCAGATTCTGCTAAAGGTTACAAATCACGTGGCATTGCCCGTGCCATGCTGGGAAAATGGGAGGAGGCTACTAAGGATCTTCACTTGGCTTCAAAGCTGGACTATGATGAGGAAATAAGTGCTGTGCTTAAGAAGGTTGGTTACCGTAATATAATCTCATAATATCTATATGGTCAAGTGGCATTGCCACATTTTTTTCCCTCTCCTTAGTTTATTTGTTTTTGTAATTTGGTGTTGTACTGCATTTCACTTAAGTTGCTACAGTCATTGTTGTCAAATGAATATGTGGTGTCTCTGTCGCAGGTTGAGCCAAATGCACATAGAATTGAAGAACACCGCAGGAAGTATGATAGGCTGCGCAAAGAACGAGAAGATAGAAAGAATGAGCGTGAGAGACAACGAAGAAAGGCTGAAGCTCAGGTACACCTCAATTACTTGATTGGTTTTATGTTTGGCTGCTCAGTGTTTCTGCATGTTAATATTCTTTTATATGTTTAATCTCAGGCTGCTTATGAGAAGGCCAAGAAGCAAGAAGAATCCTCATCAAGTAGGAGAGCTGGTGGCATGCCTGGTGGCTTCCCTGGTGGAATGCCAGGAGGGTTTCCTGGCATGCCAGGAGGGTTTCCTGGGGGCATGCCCGGGGGCTCTCCTGGGGACATGCCTGGTGGCTCTCCTGGGGCCATGCCGGGAGGCTTTCCTGGGGCCATGCCTGGAGGAATGCCTGGTAACATGGACTACAGCAAAATACTGAATGTAAGTAGATCTACTTTTGTATGTTTACTTTTGAAGCAAACTATGGTTTTTACCTTAATGTCTAAGGAAAGTTATTAACTTAGGTGAAGATTAATTTCAATAGAAAGAAAATCTTTTATTGCTTTATAGTATATGTAGCTTTCAAGTCACAGTTTGTCCATAACAGGGATCTTAAAATATTCTTTATGTTTTTTGGTTGGAGCAGGACCCTGAGTTAATGGCGGCATTCAAGGATCCAGATGTCATGGCTGCCCTGCAAGATGGTACCTCCCTTTCGGCTCTAAGCCTTTAGCCTGGCTATTCCAGTTATCTCTTACAGGGTTTTAATTAGATAACTAAGTCATTTCAGTTCTTCTAGACAAGTCATCCAACAATTGCAGTGAAGATCTTTATGAAATTTATCACATCTTTATGAATTACTGTACGGTTCAAGCAGATTTCTGACCTATTGGTTTCATTTTAGGTCGACTAACAGTTATGTAACTGGCGTAACTAGTAAAGTTGCTGCAATGTCACTGGGAGGTTACGGGTTCGAGCCGTGGAAACAGCCTCCTGCAGAAATGTAGTGTAAGGCTGCGTGCAATAGACCTTTGTGGTTCGGCCCTTCTCCGGACCCCGCGCATAGTGGGAGCTTATTGCACCGGGCTGCCCTTTTAACAATTATCTACTACCGATACTGCTTAACCCTGCCAGCCAAATGCCTTTGTCTTGGATTTTATGAAATAACAAGTCGACCTTTCAAAAAGAGAATTTTATAGCAGTTTGTGAAGTTACTTCTCATTTGTATAAACTATATGACATGGTATGATATGTCTAATCCACGTTTTCCACTTCAGAATCGCTTTTTCATCTTTATTGCTAGATACTGGAAGTTTTGCTTACCGATCAGGAACAAAAATGTAGAGACAGTTAGAGTTCCAGTTAGTATCAAGGAGTTGTATATGGGGATCGGGTTGTGTGTCTCAGATTGTAGTTTTGGTCCCAGTTAGTATCAAGGAGTTGTATATGGGGATCGCGTTGTGTGTATCAGATTGTAGTTTAGGTCCTATTCTTACTCTTCTTTTTGGCTTTCTAATTGCTAAATTATCGGATCAAAGCAGTCAAATTTCCAGGTATTTACTGTGGGTGAATGGGTTGTCATGTAGCAGACATAAGTTCATGGTTGTATCATTGGCTTATCATGCTGATTCTTTGTGTTGCTTGGTACTAGTTTCCACTTACCACTAAGTCTCAGGCAGTGTTGTCAAAGGCGCGCTTAAGCCCTAAAGTGAGGCTCAAAACACGTTGAGCGCTTTGCCTCGCTTTGCTGGCGCTTTAGTGTCGCATCAAAGCTCTAAGGCATCATACGTTTCCTTGTCAATGAGTGTAATCCTGAAAAGGCAACCTTAAATAATTGATATTTCACTTTATTGTGAATTTGTTTTTCAATTTCTTTTTCCATAACTTGTTATTCATGCTTATAATGATTAGTCTTGGATTACATGCATATTTTTACTTTTTCTCCCGTTGCGCCTTTTTTCATTAAAAGCCTACGATTTATTTGCGCTTTGCGCTTAAAGCCCCAATGGACATTAGAGCTTTTTTGCGCTTTTCGCCTAACACTGGTCTCAGGTCATCTAAGAACATATGCTTTATACACTTGTAAGTTTCTGTGGTTGAATATCATCTGTTTTGGATTATAGTTAAGGGAAAATTGATGCTATCATCAACTTATGACTACCTGTCTGATCAGTGGAAGTTTATGTATATCATTGCCATTTTGCTCTAGTTAAAAAATTTAAAGGCTTCCAGTAAATTGATTCTTCATTGGCTGTTACCTCAATGTGTCTACGCCACTTGGTAGCACCTGAGTTAGAAACTAGTTTCTAAATCATCTCACAAGAAAAAGAATATGGATAAGGTTATGGATAAGGAGTAAATTAAATTTCTCTGCGGAGAGTTTTATTGCATATCCGACAGTGTCTTAAACATATTTTCCCCACCTCTTTGCTTGTTTTTGTGCTTATTAAGGTTTTGAAATAGGAGAGACAGGTAAGGAGCTTTTTAATCAGTTTGTAATTTTCAAGTCCGCAGAAAGACATTAACGGTTGAGCTAGTATATTTTATTTTGTAATGTTCCCAGCAAGTAGTGGAGTCTGTGAATCTTGTTGCTGATCAATTGGCTGTAGCAATTTGCTATATCTGTTGACAATTGCATCCATCTAGACTTCAATGTCATACATACTGGGTATTTCAAGATCATTGTTTCCTCTTACTGATGTGGTTGTTATTTTGCAGTGATGAAGAACCCTGCTAATTTGGCCAAGCATCAGGCAAATCCTAAAGTTGCTCCAATTATTGCGAAAATGATGAGCAAATTTGCTGGAAGTAACTGAGAGTTTTTGGGCTTCTGTCAGTGAGAGTTTCTAGATTTTGGTACGGAGGTGTGATTTTGTTGTAAACTTTGTTTCATCGAGTACGCAGAGGGTCATGCCTCTAGATTGTGTTTACTGCAAGTTCAGGTTCACAATAGATCTTGTGCATTATTGATAGAAAGAAATTGATATGCTTTTATAGGCACATAATTGCTAACTTTAGTCACTTGACTTGTTGCTAATGTTCAACTTCAATTTTTCATGCTGGTGTGTGGTATTTTGCTATACAATATCTCAGATGTTTTCAATATGGATCTTTAGTTTTCTAATTGTTGCTAGTACAGTAGTTGCTGATGTAACGGTCAGCTGTCGGAATGGAACTTCTTGATCAAGTAGTGATGGAGAATAGCTAGGTACTGGAGTGATACTTGATGAACGCTTTAGTATGTGGTCTCGTGGAAAAGCATGCATGAGAATTTTCTTCCATCGTTGGTCCGGTATGGTCTCTGGTGTGTACCGAGAAAGACTTGGTTATCAAATGAGCATCAAATGAGAGAACTTGTGCATGATTTAGTTTGTATTTGGATAGTATACATCTACAGCAGTGTGAATGTAGGGTTTTAGTGGGGTTTGTTCAGAGCAGTGTCGTCTACTTTATGTTTGTAATTATATGCATTGCTTGTGGTCCCCATTTTAACTCAAGAAATTGTAATGCATGCATTAATATTTATATGTATTATTGTCTCTTGCAAAGTTTTCATATTTAGTTATTCTTTTTTGTGTNCTATTTGTTTTTGAGTTTTAACAATGGAAGCTAGCTAGTGGCTGTGTTATTGATGACTTTGTCTGAAGAACGAATACGGATCGTTCAGAGCGTCCCCCTTTTGATTTTGAGGTTGGGGGTGGCCTAGGTGGTGGTGATGGTTGTTGGCAATGGATAATAAAATTGGTGAAAAAGACAAGCCTAGTAATTTAAGTGGAAATGAGCAGAGGGACGGGTGGATTATCCGCCGTGTTTCAAACCGTGCGCTACTAGCTAGTGCACTGTCTCTCGAGGTTTTGTGGATTATCAAAAAAAACAAGCATAGGTGAAATAAGGGTGAGGACCCATTAGCTGTTGTATTCCCAATTGGTGGGTTCTGGAAATATATCCCTCCTCTAGAGAACATGAATGTGACACCAGTTTGGCTTCTGAATAAGTTAAAATCTCATCTGTGCATTTCTGCGAATCCCTAATAGCCAGATGTAGCTTGGTCTGATCATTTTCGAGAGCAACCAAATCAGAAACATATGAACGGAGGACCTTAGGAAGATCAGGAGCACCTAAAACATACAAAATATATTAGGAAGATGAGAAGAAGTATCAAACTCACTAGTAATATTGAGAAGAAGCTAAGGGCTGAGGTGATATTTACCTTGCTAAAGGAGGATTCAGCTTTACACATTCGAAGCTTCACTGCAGGATTTACTGCTCGGCTATATGAATGAGATTTTCTCTACGGAACCATTATATATATTTGATAAAAGGAAAAAAAATAAATATTTTCCCTCGAACTTATGTTGGCAAAACGGACTTTTTCTTTCCGCATCTGTCTCTCGATAAAATTGTCACGACCCAAAATCCACTAAGGATCGTGATGGCGCCGGACACCAATGTCAGGCAAGCCAACCACAATTTACTAGCAATTTCTCATTTTAATTATTTTAAAATCATTGCCTTTAAACAAATAAATAATAAACTCCGCTGGATAAATGAGGATGTCTTTACAAAATTTAACTACTGAAAAATTCCGTGATCATCCCAGAACCCGGTGTCACAAGTACATGAGCAATTTCTAGGAAATAATGTAGTACAACAACCGTCCGGAATACAATATTGGACAGACAGTAAATACAGTAATTTGAAAGAGACTCTGCTGGCTGCGAGTCGTCTCGAGAAGTGCAGCTCACCTAAGTCTTCGTATCAACCATGCCGCTACACCCACTAGACTACTAGATATGCATGTGCCCGTGCAACAAAAATGCACAGCAAGTGTAGTATGAGTACGAAAACAACGTGTACCCAATGAGTATCCCGTCTAATTTCGAAGAAGTAGAGACGAGAGGTCGACTTCGACACTTACTAGCGGTCCAATGATAATATAGTAAAAGTATGAGAAATTCATGGATTTCATAAGCAAAATTAAAACCATAAAGCCGGAAAACAGGTAAACAACTTTTCAAATAATAAGGATTTCCAAAGATTTACTTTTCATTATCTTTATCAATTTATCTTTGGCCAGGAAAGGCAATTATCAACATTTAAAATTCTCAGTCAAGCAATACAAGTCATATTCGACATTACGGACCTGCTCCAACTTTCGGAATTGAAATCCGACCCCGATATCAAAAATTCAAACTCTCGGTCAAACTTCTCAAAAACCTTCAAATTTCTATCTTTAGCCAAATGACTTCAAAACGACCTACGGACCTCCGAATTCACTTCCGATCGCGCTCCCAATACCAGAATCACCATACGGAGCTATTCCCAGACTCAGAATCCAAATGGACATTGATAACACTGAAATGCACTTCAACCCTAACTTATGAGATTCTTCCAAAATGCTAACTTCCACAATAGGCGCCGAAACATTCCCGGATCTTTCAAAACCCAGTCCGGACATACGCCCGAGTCTGAAATCATCATACAAACCTGCTGGAACCTTCAAATCCCGATTCTGAGGTTGTTTACTCAAAAATCCAATCTTAGTCCATTCTTTCAACTTAAAGCTTCCGAAATGAGAATTCTCTTTCCAAATCAACTCCGAATTTTCCGAAATTCAATTCCGACAGTGCGTACAAGTCATAATACCTGTAGTAAAGTTGTTCATAGCCTCAAACTGCCGAAGAACGTGCTAAAGCTCTAAACGACCGGTCAGGTCGTTACAAAAATGGTATTTATATATCTCTGTTTTTTTCATAAGAACATCAAATCAACAAGGAAATATTTCAAAAGAACATAAAATCAACGCATCTAAGTGGTCTTAAAAGGCATCTTTAAGTTCAACATAGAACCCCAAAAAATCAAGAAAAAACTCATATGACACATTCAAATCGGCCCATATCTCGAAGTAGTTCACTTTCTAGATAGTAAGAATTGATTGGAAGAGGATGAAAATGAAATTCATAGAGGATGAATAAAACAATGAGGAAGACAAAGAAAAATTGAAAAGTCTGGAAAGAGACAACAACAACAATAACAAACCTAGTATAATCTCACAGGTGGGGTCTGGGGAGGTTAATATGTACGCAGACCTTACCCATACCTAGAAAGGTAGAGAGTCTATTTCCGATAGACCCTCGGCTCAAGAAAAGGTGGAAAAAGTCTGGAAAGAGACATGTCTCATATAAGAAAATACTGTGTTATCGAGGTCCAATTAGGATTCCGAGTCTGGAAATAGTTCCGTATGGTATGACTTGCACGCAAAGTTTGGCATCATTCCAAGTAGTTTAAGTATATTTCAGTGCATTGGGAGTGAGTTAGAACTTGAAGTTCATATTTTTGATTCATTTGGTTTGGGGTGTGATTCTTAGTTTTAATTTGTTTTGTGCGTTCTGAGAGTTTGAGTGAATCTGTTTTATGATTTTAAACTTGTTGGCATATTCGGGCGGGGCCCCGGGAGCCTCGGATGTAATCGGACGAGGCTCAGACCAAGTTTGGACTTGGGAGCATCAGCTGAAGCTTTCAGCTTCTGGTGCAATCGCACCTACGTAGGTCCAGCTGCAGGTGCGAGCTCGCAGAAATGGCCCAGGAAGGGCAGACCAGGAACCGCAGATGCGCCCCACCCTCCGCAAAAGCGGAGCCAGCCAGCCGGGGCTAGGACTGCACCTACGATGGATTTTTTACAGGTGAGGCGTCGCAGATGCGGCCCTAGGTTCGCAGAAGCTGAAATCGCTGGAGGCAGACCCTCATTTAATACAAGACTTAGGCATTTTTGGCTCATTTCTTACACTTCTTGAGGCGATTTTAGAGCTGGTTAGAAAGGGGTTTTCGTTAGCTAATTGAGGTAAGTAATTTCTATCTAATGTGAGTTAAATGCATAGTTTAGGGGTAGATTATAACATGTAAATTGATAGAATTCATGGGTTTAAATGAAAAACCTAGGGTTTTGGTAAAAATGAGATTTAACCACGAAAAAGGATAGGGAATTTAGTGAAAATCATATATTTGAGTTCATGAAGTTATGGGTAACAATTTTCTTCGATCAGGAATCCGGGCACGTGGGCCCGGAGGTAAAATTTAGGAATTCTTCAATTGGGGTTGGGTAATCACTTTAATAATTATGATATGAACTTTTGAATATGTATTGACTATTTTATATAACATTTGACTAGTTTCGAGTCGTTTGGCACCGAATTGAGGGTTTAAAGCACAATTGTGGACCCGAAAGTAAACTTTGAGACGAGGTAATTCTCTTTTATAATATTGTGGACGGGTTACTTGACCGTTAATGAGAATTGATGTTTACTTGAATATTAGCCTCTTAATAATCCTTGAATTGGTTATTTATAAATTATTTTCTCTTGTTGTGGAGCGGGCCGAACGCCTCGGTAATAGAATAGATGCATCTATGGTTCGTGGCGTTTGACCCTCGACAGTGCACTGTTTATATATTCATCTGTAGGATCGGGCCCTACGACCTCAGCGTAGTTGTGCGTAATAATTCTTGAAGCCCAACTATAATTGATATTGTTTCATTGGCTTGAAAGATTAATTTGTTAAATGATGGAAGTTAATTGGGACTTACAATTAGTGAAAGAATTATTTGTGTATTCTTGTTATTTCGTCTTCAGTTGTATTTATATACACCATGCTTAGTTATAATTCTATTATTTTATTGTTAGCCCATAGTAAGTGTCAGAGTCGACCCCTCATCACTACTTCTTCGAGGTTAGACTGGATACTTACTGGGTACATGTTGTTTATGTACTCACGCTACACTTCTGCACTCAATGTGTAGGATCTGAGGCAGGTGTATCTGGATATCAGTCATGCGAGCATCCTTAATTTCTACTAGACTCTGCGGTGAGCTGCCTTTCGAGCCTGTTCTGCAGCTGCCGAAGTCTTTCTTTTGCTTTATTTTCTATCTATTTTATTTCAGACAGTAGTGTAGTATTCTTTGTACTTTTTCTAGTAGCTCATACTTAGTGACACCAGGTCTTGAAGATTTATGCTAGTAGACACTTGATGGTTTTGGGTTATTTTACTTATCTCACTTATTTTCAAAAAATTTATCTCTCATTTTTTTATTAAATTCTTACTTC